AAGATGATCTCAATAAAGAAAGAAACTTTGGCACGATAAAGAAAAAGTTTTCCTAAACCAGGCATCTCACTATCTCCAAATAATCATTAACTAACGGTCACTAAGTACCACACGTTACTGAATTCGTTTGCAAACTGATTTTCCCTTCTTTCAGATTGTATCGCAAATGCTTAGATATTGTACCATTAGTATTGATAAAAATAATTATAAAAAAACTTGTACACAAACAAAAATTTACTCACTGTTTATTTCTGGTGATCAAATAGATCATAAAAACTATAACTTAATAAAATTCGTAGATCATTGCAAATATTTGGGCGTTGTTATTGATGTGTAGGTGAGATTTAACATTCAAATAACAAACTTGACAAAAAAGGTAAGAAAATTGCGCAGCTCAGTGGATAGAAGGCTTTAGTATATAGCAATAAATCCCAAATTGATGAGAGCGAGTCGCAGCTCTGAACTAAACAAACGCAGTCGCACGATTAAACAGCTTCAATAGTGAGGATGCTGATTACACTCCATTGTTTATAAACAATTTGTACGAATACGGACGATCAAAATTGTAGTTAGTTTGAATGTGAGACCACGCTTATGAATTAAGGAGCATTAATTTTTGACGACTTTTCTTAACTTTAGTGAAATATTTTTAGCAAATTTTCAAAATTCGAATTTAGTAACGGTAAACTCGTATTCGAACATCATTTTCACTCAAATTATGAGGGTATGTCGTAGATGCTCCGAAGCATAGAAAACAAAGCGCGAGTTTGGTTTCACTCTCCTCAAAGAAAGAAAATCCCAAAGAAAATTGAGTTCTGAGTTAGACCTTAGCTCTTTTCGGATTAACCGAATAATGCAGAAGTAAGGACTGAAACAGGTCTGAGGAATAAATATGCAAACGAGTTTTCTTGAAAAATATGGTGAAAGTTTTGAAAAAGCAGGACCAGGGTGATATTGCAGTCAAGCCGTTTCGGATCAATTTGCTCTGCCTATACTCACAGTTTTGGGCCTTCTGAAGTTTATAATTTATAGTAATTTTAGTTAAACCCCACCACTGAAGATGGCGACGAAACGCGTCTGACAGACCAAAACATTCTGAAAGGACCAACCGGCAGATTCAACACCACGCTGATCTCACAATTTTATGGATGAAAGTGCAACGAAGTATCGTCCAGTAGGTGCGGAATGGACGAAAAAAAAATTTCCTGTGCGTAGACTGAAATTTTTTTGGATTAAACGGTAGTTGGATTAGAAGGATTACATTGCACAAATTTCTTCTTAACAAGGCGCTTGAGTACATTAAAACCCGCATGACCGATCGGTCGTGCAGGTTTAACATAGTAAAGCGCCGTATTGGTTAAAAGAGCCTTTGTTTTGTCAAATTTTTCACCTTCCAAATTTTTTCTTCAAAATAGTGATTTAGAAAGTTATAAACTACGTAATTGCAATAAGTTGGCCTCCGTAAATAAATTAGGATATAGTTTTTTATGTTTGAAGAGTTATTGATGAGTTAATTTCATTCTGTATTTTTCTAATTAATTTTTTTTAACTTAACCTTCAATAATTAGCCACTTTGAGCTGAAACGTTTAAAGTTACTCAATATACCGTATGTAGATAACGCCATCTCCAAGCCATGATGATCGAAAAAGACGAAAATCGTCATTTTTTCCTGATACTCTGTTCAGCTACTACTAATTTTTAGATAGCCCGGCTTAATTTCTCTTGAACTAATGACGCTATAAAAAAATTGTTTAATATTTTTTAGTCTAATTTCAAATTTTTACCTTTTTTGTCGAAAAATTATTCAGGGTACCTCAGGCCCAGTCCAAATTCAAAATTTCAAATACGTGGTGATTATTAGTGACCGTTAATAAATAATTATTCCGAAATCGTGAGATGCGGTCTGGATTTCGGAATAATTATTTCAAATACGGCCCTATACATCCTGACATATGGTCATCCTGATTTTAAATTGGTCAGAAAATGAGAAGGTTATGGCAAAAAGATTTTTTTTAAACAGTTACTTGGTTTGCTATTTATTAATCCCATTTCATGTTCGAATTGCCTGTCTTGCGAAAAAATGCAAAGATTTGTTCTTTTCAACCACTCTTCACCGGTACTCAGAGCGATAGAGTCAGAGTAGAAGGATCGAGATTGACGAGCATGTTTTATCCTTTGCTGCAGTTCTTCAACTGAGATTGCTGGGTTATGTTTGGCGCAGACAATGTTTTTTAAATTGCTCCACGAAAATAATCAAGTGGAATTAAATCGGATGACCGGGGAGGCCAACAGATCGGACCATGAGGTCCTATCCGCCTATCCCGGGAGGGACGATTGAAATGTCTCAACTGTGAAGAATTGCAAGCTGGAGAATCATTCTTTGTCGTTGTTGCAGAGGAACATCATAAAATAGTGTTTTTTAAAACCTCCCTCAAAAAATTGAGGAACTGGGCACCATTTAAATTATTTATTACTAAATTAATCTTTCCCGAGAAGGCCACACCAAACGTTGATAGTTTGAACGACCTGATAACGACAAGTGTTCAAAATTCTCTGATTTTCGTCTGCTTCGTTCGAAAATTTCAACGGTTTAGTACGCCATTAGAGGTGAACTTGGATTCATCAGTCTATATTTATATGGAAGAACGTTTTCTTTAGCCTCCTAAATCGACATTTGTGCAAGGTATGTTAGTCATAATCAGAATTCCGAAGTCCCTGATAAGATGAGAGCGATACGGCTTAAAATTGTATGTCTGGAGTATATCTCTAATTTTATTTTTGGAAAAACCTAAAACATTTCCAACCTTTCGGAGAGAGGAATTCGGATTTTCGCGAGCATTCAGTAAACTATTCAGCTCCTCGTCGAAATTACCGGCTGCCTGTTTCTTGGTGATGGAACGGCAACTGATTCTTATCTTTTCATATTGCGAGCAATACGTCACGGCAGCTCAAATTGTCAGAACAGCGGCGTATTGAGCCGAAGGCCGTGGGTTCGAATCTCGCTCGTGTCACTAACTTTTTCATCTCAACCAAAACCTTACATAATAATTATTCAGAAATCGTGAGATGCGGTCTGGTGTGATGTAGGTTTCGGAAAAACATTTTCTTTATCGTGCCAACGTTTCGATCTTTATTGAGATCATCTTCAGGGCTCAAAGCGTTTGTCTTCTGTGTAATTGTGCCATTCTTGCGTGTCGTGTTGAGAGTGCCACGATTTATTTCTGAATAATTATCGATTAACGGTCACTAACCACCACACATTCTTACATAATAAGACTGTTTCAGTTTATTAACTGAAATACAGCAAAATATTCAGCCCCTCGTCGAAATTACTCTGTCGGTTTCTTGGCGATGGAACAGCAACTGATCCACATCTCCTCATATTGCGAGCAATACTAATAAATGTTTTGTGGTTTATTCTGGGGCGATCAGGCAATTTCAGGGAGTACAACTCGATTGCAAGGCACTATCAATAAAGCAGTCGTAACTCGTCGTTGATCGGAAAAATGTGCTCTTCGGTTCATTTTGAATGGAATACTAATTATAACGAATAGGTATTATTGTAAAATTTATTTACTTCCAGGAATTAAGATTTGCTCTCATAATGCGAGTTTAACAAACAATGACAGAATGAAAACAATAAAGGCAATTAATGTTTATTTTAGCGAAGGAGCAAATTATTGGAATTAACAACGAAACAAACAAAATTCGTTTGTTCGACCTTTTTGCCATAAATTTGTCATTTTTTGAGCAATTAAAAATCCGATTGCACAATTGTCTTCACCGGAAAAAATTCTTTAAAATGATCTGTCAAGATGTACAGGGTCGTATTTGAAATTTTCAATTTGAACTGTGCCAAAGATGCCCTGGATAATTTTTCTCCAAAAGAGGTAAAAATTTGAAACTAGACTAAAAAAATATAAAACACGTTTTTCTTTATAGCGTCATTGGTTCTAGAGAAATTCACCCGGCCCATCTAGAAAGGTCACCCGATGTAAATTATTATTTCGTGACGAGGAGAGAAAGTCAAAATTCAATTTACTTTGTCCCTCCGAAGAACATTTTCAATCTGCTTGGACTTAAACATTTATCGAGTAACCAACAGAGATAAATTGAAAGTTTAAGCTCGTCAATTATAAACACTGGCCGTAAAGAATCCAATTAACCCCCCTAACAGACAACTCTCTGAACGAGTTAAGAAATTATTTGTTTTAATAATTGAAGAAGGGACGGATTTTTATTTTTATCCAGTTCGCCGAGGAGCTCTGCAAGTAGATTTTTTTTCTTTTACGACTGGAAGTGGGCCTTGAAAATCTGAATCATTGCTCCCTAATCCCTTAAGGGGTTTCCTGGCGTTATTCCCAAGTTTTGCCGCCTTTGTCGTACAGTTTAATAATTCTTCTTTCACGTAGAAACTCTGGACCACTAGTAGAAAACACCAACTAATCCGAGTTTAATCTTGTTAAATTGTTGCTCAGCTCTCGACGATTTATACGGTTTAATTTACCGGGTTTTTTTTCTTTTGGTTTAAACCAGACAGAAATCTTCACCCTTTCGCTCCTACAGTGTAATATTTAAGTAGAAATTTAGACACATTCACACTAAAATACACTGTTCTATCAGGACATCATAAAACGATTTATTGCTTTTTTAATTAAATATCCAAAAGTATTCATTTTAAGTTTTATATATTATTTAAAATGAATATTCCAAGATTTAAAACATAAAATTATTGTTTGTTAACAGTAAAAGCTAATCGTTTTTTTGTTTTAAGACACTTGTGAGTTTTTCATAATCTTAAAATGATTTTTGTTTATGATCGAATATTCTTTAAGACGAAGATCGTCTCTGTTATAATCTTAAAATCAATAAATCTTAATTATCGATCATTCGCAAGACATTATAAACAATTGGATACAAGACACGACATAAAATTAAACAAGGCGATTAAAAAAAAAAAAAAAATCAACAAGTCTGTTAAAATGTGTCTGTTACTGACCGAAAGCGACGATGATTGGGATGAGCGTTATTGTTATGATCGGCGGCATGTTTTGATTCATAGCGGTCTCATGATCCGTTCGTCGAGGACTGGGAAAGCCAGGAGAGGAACCGGGAAAGGGAAGGAAAGAGATCGGTTTGGGCGCAGGCGTTGTCCAACCTTCGATTTTCCACCCCTGACTTCGACCTCAAGGTCTGAACGGACCACCTGGGACGATAAACTTTTCTATTCAAACCCAATCTTCGTATGGTTCTTTCAAAAGTATTCGTGTTGCCTCAGCCAGTTAAATTCGTAAAAAGCCTTTTGAAAACTTGAAAACAAGAAATTTTGGCGAAATCCTTTTAGAAAAAAAATGCCGAACAGTATAGAAAATTTCAGACGATCTTTTTTGAAATTGCATATTTATTCTGTTACAGCATTTTTATAAAACTTGCAAGATCGTCTTGTTCAATTTAAATCCCAAAGGGAAATTTAAACTAACAGGAAGGGGTTACTTCCACCGCCTCCTCTTCCTCAAAGCTTGTTACTTCTGCTTCACTTTTTCTCCTGGCATCTCTTTATCCTCATCAAACCAAAAAACCAAATTTCATCGTCCAGTTCAAATTCACAAAACACAAATAAGCTTTTATCTTCTGCCTTGATAGTTAGCCCTTAAGCCATTGTTCCTTCAAAACGGTAAGTACTTAGGTCTGCAGGGGGGGGGGGACCACGTTAAAAATGAATCAAGATTCAAATGATTTTCTTTGTTTTTATGCTTCAATGAATTTTAAAGCTATATTAATTGGTTTACTGATTATACATTATCATAATGTCAGTTTTGACACCAAATTACAAATTCTTCTTTGATGCTGTTGTATTCGAAAAATTGATAAATATGAGTTAAACAAAGAAACAAAAGATCAATTAGTGAAATGCTGAAATAGGTCTGATTGTTGAAATCATATATGATTTATTTTTTATTTATTTAGTTTTTTACTATTTAAGTATTGGCCACAGTTCTTCATTAGGTAGGAGTGTCAAGAAAGGACCGGGCGGACCTGGCAGCAAAAGAAGAGCCGGCGGGAAAAGCGGGCTGATCCTTTTTTATACAAATTCAATTTATACAATTACTTATTTATACGATGATCTTTGTGGAGAAATAGATAAAAACTATTTACATCGAAATATCCATGGAAAAGTCCACGTCTCCTAGACCACCAGAGCCATACATGCTCAGTGAGCCCTCCCCCTCCCCTGTCCGCTTTGATTCTTTCTCCTTATGTTTCTCACTAGTTATTGTCACGACCAAATAAAAATCATTATAAATCAAATAGTATGTCATGATTTTTGGTTCAAAATTTTACTTTAGTTTGTTTATGGCTTTGTTTGTACTCTTAGCAATTGAGAAAGAAATCTTGTCTAAAAACTTGTGAAATATCGACAAGGCTGTGACAAAAATGAAAGAATTAGTCAAGTGCTTTACCATTTTAAATCAGGACTTAATTATAAAATGCCAAAAACACACATAGTTCTGTATACAAAGAAATGATTTAAACCAAAAATTCCAGGCCTTTGGGGCAAAACTGGGTTTTTAAAAAAATTGCTCACACTTTATTAAATGTGGTTAGTAAAAAGTGATGCATAATTTATTTAATTATATCTTGACTCGTTAGTACTTATCGCATTTTCCAACACTCATATAGTTTTTAACACAAATTTAGGACACTTGTCGATAAATGTACCACCACATTTATTTACATTTACATTTGATTTTCCTAGGCGGATAAAATGGATAACACATTGAACCGACACGGATTACGCACCAGCCAATCAAACATTTTAGTTGGAACCCATCTATCAGATGACAGTTTAGTATCTGGACTAAAATACTAGATGACAGTTTAGTAGCCAGACTAAATTATCCGATGACAGTTTAGTAGTTGGACTGAACTATCCAAGTGACAGTTTAGTAGCCAAAATTATCAGATGACAGTTTTGTAGTCATACTGAACTATCCAGATGACAGTTTAGTAGCCAAAGTTATCAGATGACAGTTTAGTAGGCATACTGAACTATCCAGATGACAGTTTAGTATCTGGACTAAAATATCAGATGACAGTTTAGTAGCCAGACTACACTATCAGATGACAGTTTAATATCTGGACTAAATATCAGATGACAGTTTAGTAGCCAGACTATACTATCAGATGACAGTTTAGTAGCCAGACTACACTATCAGATGACAGTTTAGTATCTGGACTAAATATCAGATGACAGTTTAGTCTGTAGTGTGTTGAGGCCCTTACACACAGCCTGCCATACCTGGGGACTTATTGGAATGTAAACTTTCTCAATTGGCCAAAATTTGACTTATCCAATTTGCCTCAAGGGTGCAAAATTGTGGTATACCATTATTTTTATAAATGGAGTTGTTACTGGATCAACCATTAGCTTGATGTCCCAATCATACTCATCTGCCTATTCTTGCGCAAACCTCAATATAAATCAGCTAAAATTTAGTTCTAAGAATCAGGGTTTAATAAATTATTCATTAAGTACAACAGTTTTGATAACACATACCCACATATTTGTTTGTGTCTTTAATGTGATATGTATAATATATATATTTCATTTTATATAAATTACATTAAAATAAATACACAGGCGTTTAATAAATTTTTATGAACTCATTTAAAACATTATAATTATCATTACAATACTTGTGCAATGCACACTGCAATGTATACATTTATATATATATTTATATTAATTTTATATAGAAATTTAAACATTTCTTACAAATCATCGTTTTTTCATATATATATATTTTGTATGCTTGTAACCACATATCATTTTGGGCAATGCACCCTTTCTGAAAAGCTACAATGTTTCTCCATTTCTCTCTCTCTCTCTCTCTCTCTCTCTCTCTCTCTCTCTCTCTCTCTCTCTCTCTCTCTCTCTCACTCTCACTCTCGCTCTTTCTTTCTCTCTCAATGCTACATTTTCTTAAGTACAGTATAAAATTGGTATATTTTATTTATTTAACATTGTAACAAAATTAAATGCAATATTTTTGAAAATTGTTGTTTAAATAATTTCTGCGCACTGAAGCTGAGATCTAGAGTGCAAAATTAGACAAAATGTTAACATAAGAGATCTTTATTATACCATATGAATTTGTTTTTTAATACTGCAAACACCATTACACTAACCCGTGCACGGAACATTCACAATCTGCGCGAATTGTTTCGATTTTCAGGCCAAATAAAGCCAATATGAAAAGCCCTTTCTCAAAGCTTATGTTCAACCGGTTAACAGTGTACAATTGGAAAACAAAAGTTCTACATTACGCAAGTCTAAACACATAAAACAATTTTTTCATGGCACAATGAGCAAGCCACAGACTGATGGCATAAGGTAAAAAACCGACAGTCATTTCACAATAAACAGAAATTATTTTTATTAAAATAAAAATAAAATGCTCAAAATTGATCAGTAGCTTTTGAAATAAAGTGACCTATACTAAAAGAAAACTACAAAGCAGTAACATCTATATAAGGTTAATTATATCTGACCATGTCATTATGTCAGTCAGTTGGTCAAACAATTAAAATATTATATGGCAAATTAGAAAATACATTTGAACATCAATAATTTTGTTGTTTTTTCTAAAGATTTTTAAAAGTCATTCAATAGTTAAGGAACTTTTGTGCTCAGTTATTTTTTTGTTATAAAATTTTTAATGAAATTTATTTTTGAAATGAACGAAAATTTTCTACCGAATAATCTGGGTAATTAAAAACAAACCGTTTGCCCATAAGCTTGACTAGAGCAGACTTACCACTTAAACTAATAATTACAACTAATAATTATTTAGCATTAGAATAAATTGTACTCTTGAGTTATGACAACATGCCGTTTCAACAATATTAAACCGGTCAATAAACTATTATTAAAGATGAGAATAAAAACGAGTGTTCTATAATAAATAATGAAAAACTCTGAGGTAACACGAAGCAAAGGAAGACCTGAGTGGAACGAACTAGGTACAAAAAAAGTTTGCTTAAACAGAAGTATTGTTATGTTTTTACGAACTTTGCTTTATATTAATGGAGGGAGTTTTGTTATACACTTTTGTCCATACACACTGAGTTACGAAAGCACATCTCAGATTTTGTTTTCTATATTCTACAAAGCTACTTCCAATATAATTTAAGATGTTATACATTTATAATAACAACAAAACATCTTAATTTTACTTCTTGTACAATGAGGAACACAGTTTGACTACAAGATACAACATAAATGTAACTATAAATAAAGTACAATTCTACTATTTCATTTTTTTTATGTTTTTCATATACACACACCAAGAAGAGCATTTTGATATATACAAAATATTACAACGCAAATTGTACAAAGAGGGCATATATCACAAGATAAGCACACAAAGCATTGAGGAATGGCTTTTAGACTGTGTCTCAATGGAGTTTTTTTTTTTTTTTTTTTTTACAAGAGATTTTAAACATCAGTAAGTTCCTACTAACTTAAAAACAATGATAACAACATCAGCCTTATTATTACAAACACATTGAGAAAAAATTCATTTCACATTGTACGCCTGAACATTAGCCTCTTAGCCCAGCTGAGAATAAATAAATAAAACTCATCATAGACACAGTCATTGACGAGAAGTTGCTCTTAAGCTTGTGCAATGTTTGACTAGATAATGGTTCACAACCCTTTAAAAATGATTCAACGACCTATACAACTTGATTGTATCCACAGAGTATACATAGCAGAGATTTACACCGCTCACTTTGTTATAAATTACAATTTACAAGTACAGACATCTGTACCTAAACTAACTGGTTATCTAATTAGGTTAATATCGCCGAAGTATACCATGTGAGACACGACACGCCAGGTTACTCCCAGACATACCACCATAGAATCAATAAAATTTAAAATTAAAAATATCATACAGTTATATAAAAATAAGAGATTACATATCAGGTAACAGTAGGTGGTACATCACAAAAGTAATGTGATTCGAAGCAGACAAAGAGGACACAATTTTTTTACCAAAGCACCAAGGATATATCTTAAGTATTCTATCTACAGTACCGGCTAATCTTAAATTTACCACTCACATATTGCTTACATTTATGAAAAATTCTAGAGGTTTTGTCATTAATTTTTTTTCTTTTTGCCTTTTTTTTAAATAAATTTTTTTTAAAAGCATCTAGTAGTAGAAGAGGGTGACAGAACTTGCAGTAAGCACTACAGTTATTGTCAATATTGTAAGCGGGTGTTACAAAAGTGGTACTGCCGGGGTGAGTGGTGCAAGAGTCAGGCGTTGGATTCCTTCAGATTGTCAAAATATTGCATGATCTGGTTGTAGTCCATTCCGAGATTGAGCTCTTCTAGTGCCAGCCCTGTCTCATTGTCGTTAAACATCGGGTTACCGACGACGGTTGCCCTTTTCCTCCCTCTGCCCTTGTGGTGATGATGGTGCTTTACAACCATGGGCTTCCTGTGTGGTGGCACAGGTGGACGATAATCCTCAAGTACTCCCGGCCCATGAGGTGGCACAGGTGGTACCACCTCCTTCCTATCCATCATTCTTTCATTGTTGCTCTCCCTAAAATAAAATTTATAATTATTAAAAATAATTAATTTATAAATATTTCTAATAAAACTGCAATATTATGGAGGGAAAATTGTCCTGAAAGGAATGATTTAGTAATAAAGTTTTTAATCACCGAACACCACTGCTTTTTATTAATAATAGTCAATTTCCTAACCCTACTGAGTACTTTTTCATGCTAAATACCAAGGTTGATATGATTTTTTTTTCTTATTATGGTTAAAATGAGATGAAGTGTTAGTACAAACTTCACTTCATCATACCTGGTGTTTGCTGTAAAACAGATCATCTGAAATTTTAAAACTATCAACACGTATATAATGGATTTATGTAATGGGAATAAAATAAAATTTACCATTGGTGGTGATGTGAGTGTTCGAAATGGTTTGGATTGTGAAATGAGTTTCCTTGGAACATGGGGTTGTCCGTTACGTGCAGCGTGGACCTTCCAAGCCAGACCCAGTCATGTGCATTTTGAGTCGGCGGCTGCCTCCTCTGCTGTTGGTTCTGCTGGTGAGCCGATTGATGGTGAAGATCTTGCCCAATGCCGTCTGCTGCTTTGAACTTTGAAGCGTACACAATGCAGGATACTACGAATACGACTATGGCGAAACAGAAAGCAGCCAGGAGGACATACATCCCGATTTCTAGCGGTGTTAATATATGATTTTTAGACACTGTTACACCCGTCGACGTCCCTCCTGAGCCGTGGTGTTGTCTAGCTTGAACTGTCGGTTCATGATTGTGTTCATCCTTTAATGGAATTCCTGTTTGGAAAAAATGTTTTTAACGATTTTTCATGACATTTTACTTACGAGTTCTGTTTTGCAATCTTTTAGCAACTTTAAATATAAATAAGCAAAGCATCCTTACCCTTACCAATAAGATCGTGAAGGTCTGCTACTATTTCCCTGTTAGCACCGCCATCATTCTGAACAAGCTCTGTCCGGGTGACAGAAAGTCCTAAGCTGAAGTCAATGTCAACCTAAAATTACATAAAAACAGATTATTCAACAGAAGAAGAAAAATTAAGCTTAATTTTTTACATGTGCGCGTGTTGAAGAAAGCGGGACTTTTGAACCACATGAAGTCGGAGGATGCATAGTTACAGTTAAAAGATTCCCTTTTCCCTGAGCGACTGCAATAACTCTCGGCTGTGACATTGGTGTTTGAGGTGCAAAAGCGACAATATCAGGTCTCTCAGTTTCAACCATTAAATGATAGTCTTCTCTTTCAATCGAAGAAACGGACGTTGTGCTTCCATCAGAAAATACCAATTCCATGTCAAGTAATCCCTCCTACAACAAATGAAGCATGTATGAAGAGTATTCGATAACAATGGTAGTATATCCCCAACCTGATATTGCGCTGTAAGCTTTCTAGTGACTGAGGCTTGTGCTATATACCCATTATCGACACCTGTATCTGGAGAAATTGCCAACTGGAGCCCTGATACCACACTAGCGCTAAGTTTCGTAATAGTAACTTTGTCGCTCAAAACTCTAACTTCTTTAGCACCGAGGACTCTTCCAGATACAGCACTTACAACCTATAAAACATTAAATCCATTATTACATTAAAAGCGTTATTTATTTAAAAAAAAAAATTACCTGAAGTTCTGTTCTTCCAGGTGCTCTTCCTTGCAATATGTTACCTTGCAAAGTAGCAATCCTTGTATCAGATACTCTCAAAAGACCTAAAACAAGCTGAGTAACCCTTAGCCATGTGCGCCTATTGACAAGGTATGACACCCGGCCAGAATCATGATCTGCAGCAACAAATCTGGCATAAACCTATAACATTTTAATATTTAATCGTGCTGTTGTGTTAAAACTTGTTAAAAATTGAGATTTTGTTGAAACTTTCTAACCTCTACGTCTGTCTGTTGGTATCTTAGCCTACAAGCTGTTGGTTTCTCCAAGTTGTTATCTTCTGTAAGCATCGATAGTGAAGTGTCTGTTCGAAGGCTTCTTTTCATTTTTCCAGATCTGCCGCGAAAATTAAGCCAATCAAGTACCCCGGCTATACTTTTACAATTAGACAGGAATAAAAAATTACCTAGTGTCAGGAACCCTCCAACCTTTGACTTGACTAAGCCTTGTGTCAGGCAAGGACACTTCAACCGGCAGCTCCGGCATCCATACAGTGAAACTCGCAAGTGCTACCAGACTTCCATAACTCACAACAACACTTGCATTCGCTGAACCCCTTACTTCGGATCCGTCGACATAAACTGAACTGCAAGACGATGACACTTTGATGACACTGTCATCTGGCACGTGGCAAGTTGCCTGAAGGGTCACATCGGCTAGATGACCTCCGTGTGACACCATGACAACCTTCATCCCTTGGCTAACTTGCTTTCCGGTTAAAACAGCACTGTTTACAACTTCCCAGTTCTAAAATGAAATATATATTTTTATTGGTTTGAATATTCGATCGACTCAAGCTCACCTTTGATATCGGGATCAAAGCGTGTATGTCATCTTTGTTAATGTGTATTCGCACACTTGCTTTATGCTTGCCATGATGATGTGGATTGGTAGACGGATGTCCTCTTTCATTCAAGTACCTCACACTCCATACTAATTTTCCTTCTTGCCACAGTCCTGTTAGCCCACCTCCTGCCACTTCAATGATCCACACGAACACTTCTTCGGTCCTAAAAATATCATTTGTTTAAAAAAAAAGAAATTCAAATATGTCATCTCTTACCTTGGTACAATGTCTTGTTGCTGTTGCTTGTTAATTACAGTCACAGTTGCAACAGACTGCTTTGTGTTTATCTCAACAGTCATGTTCCAGTCCTCCCGCGAAATAAGTTCAGCTCCAAGAACCTTTAATCCACTCTTCACACGGGCTCTTAAAAATAATTAAATACATAAATAGCTTTATAGCAATGTGTCTACAAGCAATAATGCTGTATTAAAAGTGAAATAATAACACAGCAATATAGTTTACCTATATTGTTTATATATTTGCATAAATAAAGACCCATTTAAAATAATACTGACATTGCTGTTCACAGAAAATGTGTGGTGTTTGCTGACCACTTCAGGTAGCCGGGCTTCCATATGTTGTGAAAACAATTCTCCAAGTATACCCAACACACACCGAAATTCAATAACCAAACAGTACTTAAGAAACTTTTTTTACTATTTACTTTGAAGGAAAAAAGTAGTTTTCTAATATAATATAATATCTGTAAATCATCAATATGAATGACACATCATAAGGATTTTACTGAGTGATATTATTAGTGTTTTGTCTGAGCAAATTAAAAGAACTTCAACAACTGGCATGATGAACGAGAAGAGACAACATATTCTCAGCAGCTTTAACTTTCATCAAATGAAGACTTCATGGGCAGAAGCATTTCTGGCACATAAACTTAATTTACAAAATAATAAATTTTTCAATTTACAATTTTCATTGTCACCAAAAGAAATAATTTTTTTAAATTTTTCTAGGGCAAATACTTTTTCAGTCTGAGATTTCTTATTGCCTGCAAAGTGAAGAATCATGAGGTTCTTCTTTGTTGTATAATACACATTTGGAAAAAAAAAGCCAGCAAATGTACTTGATTTCCTTGGAGAAACAGTAGGACAAAACAACATAGACCAACCAGTGTTCTTCCATGGTGAAAAATATACAAAACGTGTTTAGACCAGCAGATTTCTGGGTTGCTGGAGGGTGTTCATCACCCTCCAGATCACAAGAAAAAATTTCAAAATATTTAGTATATATATGTATATAAGCTGACCAGAATGTACTTTATTATTTGCCTTGAGGGAGCGAGGAAATAAAACGCAGGCCAACCACTGATAACGACAAAAGGCCAAAATGTGTCAGAAAGAACCAAAGAGCAAAGAAAGACAAACCAATATGATTGGAAACGATCAAGCAAGTTCATCACTCTCCAGATCAGAAAAATAAATCTCATAATATTTAGTTTGTAAAGATTTTTTCTACATGTGATGAACAAGTAGCTTGGTTGTTTCAGCCAGTATGGCCTAGCTCACTAACGGCTGAAACACACAGGCAGAGCAATGCAGCGAGGATAGGCAGACAACTCACATGCAACTGGTCACATAACAAATCACAAAAAGAAATTTCACAATGTCTATTTAGTAAAAAAATATATATATATATTTTTTTTTTAAATATTTATTTTCCTTTTTCATAGTCTACTCAGGCCGTGGAGTTATAAAAAAACCATTGTTGTCTATGGGGTTAATTGGGGTATAAGCAGGGAGAGGCAAAGCACCATGTTCTTTCACCGTGGCAAAATGCCAAAATACGTTTAGACAATCAAACCAGCAAGGATAAGCTGACCAGAATGCTCTTTGTTATCTGTCTTAGGGGGGGGGGCGAAATAACACGCAGGCGAAACACTGATGATGGCGAATGGCCGGACGGGCCTGACGGAATAAAACTGCGAGGATAGACAGATCAATATGATGACAAACGACCAAGCACTGGTACATTGTCGTCTGCCAGGTTAATTAGGTAATAAGCAGGGAGAGGCGTCCCTAAACGCGTCAGAACAGATAAAACCGGGGAATACAATTTGACCACAATGTACTTTATTATCTGCAAATCTAAAGAAGAAATGTCATATAATTTAATTTCTCGGGATGTTTTCTTTATTTCAACACCTTTTCAATACATTTTTAATGTCTAAAAGAAATGAAATGTGTAATCTTCATCAATGAAGAAAGACCAAATTGTCGGGAAACAACCAAGCAACAATGCCTTTCTGCAAAAAGAGATATTAACGGCACCTCCGGCGTTCTGCAAGGATTCCAATAATTACAGTGTCATATACATCTCTCTCTCTCTCTCTCTCACTCTCTCTCTCTCTCTCTCTCTCTCTCTCTCTCTCTCTCTCTCTCCTCTCTTTCTTTATTTTTTATAAACTTTGCAGCATTTCCTACTATTTAAGCGGCATTTAATCGAGTACGATATACTAGATTACAGCGAGTTGATATAAAACAAAGTATTCAAAGGGTTACTAGTATACTTTAGTTAATCGAAAACGAATTCTAACTAATACAGCACCACTAAATTTTTTTATCGATTTCCATGTTTTCGACAGATGAGTGAAGTTACGATCTCGTTTGTTTGTTACTTCGTTACAAGCAGAGTCAGCAGTAAAACTTGCCAACAGTCGACTTCGCATAATTGTCACGTTTCGTCGTATATATAACTGTGTCCATATCATAAGAAAAAAACACCATTTTTTTTATTTTCCATAAGTATTACACAGTTATTTATTTATTTTGAACTGAGCATAAAAAGTCATATCTATTGATCTATTGGAAGACACGATTTTTCAGTTTCAAAGATATGGGAATGGTCTTGTTATTTTGTTTATTTTTACACATAAAGTTATAATTACGTTTTTTTTTTTGCTGTATTCATAACGAGTTGGATTTCAGTTTTTATGGACTGGTTCTACGTGTGAGGTAGATGTTTATCGCGGGGCCCTTCCATTTAAAAAACGTGTTATTCTGATGCGGTCGTATCAAATTACGAAGTAAACACATGGCGGTAACATTTTTGTTGGCTAATTGTTTAAAATATTCGTATGAAAAAGAAGAAAAGCTCAAAAATTTGTCAACGCCTAAAAAAATACATAAAACGACCCTGTTTGTACGTAAAATATGCTTAAATCGTACATTTTTCAACTCTCTGATAGTTATGAAAATTATTCAAATTTAAATAAGCTTTCGATGAAAGTGAAGATAAATTTGTTGGGCCTTTTCTTTTCTTTTATTGTTTTATTATTAATACAACAGAATATGTTAAGCCTGATTTTTGATTAACACGGTTTGTTACACTCACAATAAAACATTGAAGTAGCATAATTTGTTGAAGTCTTGAGGAGCGGTCAAGAATGAGATAGTTTAGAAAAACAAATTTTTTAATTTTTTGCCCATGTTCCGACCCTTATTCGGGTCATCTTCAGAGCCTGGGTAAATTACAAAGTAACAAAACATATGTTGATTTTTTTTACGAGGGTTCGCCACAGCAGAGTGATACCCCTCAGGGTGCCGGTGTTTTTGAAAAAAGCCCATTTGTATGTATGTATGTAGGGTTCGAATGCAGGGCCGCTGGATTCGAACCCGGGACCTTTACCTTACAGTGATGAGCGCCGTGTCAACGCCTAAACCGTTGCGGCCACCGACGCCACCTTTTTGTATGTTGTTACAGTTTTGTGCTTGTCTGTATTGTTGAGGGTTCGTGTTGGTTTCCCGGATTCCCCGACATTAAATGTTCTTTACATCTCTCTTTTATTTTTCGTCCTGTGTGATATTTTTGTCTCCGCGGTCGCATATTATGGCGTGTATGTCGTTTTTGTCATACGGGTTGGTTTTGCCAATGTTTTCTTCTTTGTGTTTGTTGTTTTAGGTGATCTTGTAATGTCTAATTTGTTGAATAGATTCGTTCGTTTATATATTTGTTCTTATGCATGTGAATGTGGTCCACGGTTAGGCTCTGTTTTTTTGTCGTGTCGTTTTATTAATTATTTTATAATTTTCTGTTAATTGTACCAATTTAGTATAAGGACCGTCTTGAGGAATACTGAGTATACCGGGGTGAGTGTGTGACATCTGAGGAATAAAAGAATATTTTTCCGAGGGTGGGGTGCCGCGGTTTGGTGGTCTAAGGGTGGGGCGCCTAGATTCAATATGATCTAACATGGATTTTTTCTCACTTATATATCGATTTTTTCAACAATCAGCGGTTAACGGAGGTGAATATGGCAAAAATAATAGTCAGGCTTTTTAACTTAACAAGATATATAGGCCATTGATATTTTCCAAAGAAAATATCGATTTTTTCAACCATCGTTATTACTAATTCACTATTTTCGTGGTCCGCTTGACCAATTAATACAAGACAATTAATTAAGGTTTTTAGTTGAGATGAAAAAAAGTTAATGGCACGAGAGGGATTCGAACCCACGACCTTCGGCTTGATACACCTGTACTCTACCACTTGAGCTATCGTGACTTCGATCCCCTCGGGCACTAACTTGTCATCTCAACCCCACCTTTTGAATTTTCCCTCCTTTTTGCCATTTTTCAAATGTCGTGTAATCGGTTTGGATTCTCGACGACAATTGAAATGGCGACNGATAGCTCAGGTGGTAGAGCAGCGGCGTATCTAGCCGAAGGTCGTGGGTTCGAATCCCTCTCGTGCCATTAACTTTTTTTCATCTCAACTAAAAACCTTAATTAATCATCATTATTACCTTTGATGAAAAGGTGAAAAACCTGTCGTTTTAACATGGTATGTTTTTTATTTTTGTTTACCTTAGCATGAATCCGGTTACGTGTGCAGGTGGTTTGATCGTGACATAAGTTGGCACGTGTATTTTGCTCGTTGGGTAGAGATGCCTTTGAGGCATGAGCATGGTAACGTGGTTGTCCGTACTGATCGTGTTGTACGCTTGGCTTGCTGGCACTAATTGTACAGTACCTGCAAGTTTAAAAAAAAATGTAATAGTGTTACGTTTAAAGTACAAAAACTTAACGCACCTAAGGGAGTGAGACTTTGTATCATTACTTTCGGGGTGCACTGAGGTCCTCGTACTGGTTCGACTACTGTATAAGCTAAAGTGACGAGTCTCGGTGGTGTTTTGGTTGGTTTGGCTCTTCTGGCGGGCAACGGCGGCCACCACGACCACGGCAAGACGAGTTCGACGAGGCACATGCCTTCGTGACTGTCAGGAGAACACGCACCGGAAACTCTTGATTCTCCCATCGTGGCATGGACGACGGCGCAAACCCGCTGTGCACCCGGCTCGGCGCCAGTGTGCATCACCACTCTTACTACTGGCCAGTCTCGTTCCACCTGAAAACCAAATTTGATGAAACAATTATCTTGAGCCCATTCTTCTTTATTATCACTCTTCTATATCCTTTCTTCTGCAAAATTAACAGAAGCTTTCTATATACTTCTTACAACTCTTGTATGACTTTCTTTCTATTCTTTCTTTCCCACAGCCCTTCTTATTTGCCCTATGTTATTTCCGACTAGTTAATTTCTTTTTCTCCCCTTTCCTCTCACCCTCTTTCACTCTCTCTCTCTCTCTCTATCTCTATCTCTCTCTATCTCTCTTTATCTTTTTACTCTTTTTCTCTATCACACTTTCCCTCTTTCTCTCAATTTTTAAAAATATTTCAATCATATTCACTCTTTCCTTAAACTTCTCTTGCTATCGCTCCATTTTATACTCTCTTTCATTTTTTTTAAATTTTGTACTACTCTTTTTTTATTTTTTTTATTTTTAACACATTTCTATTTCAAATCCAATCTCCATTCTCACATTTATTATCCTTTCTCTCTGTTTTTCAATCTATCTATGTAACTATCTGCTTTGTTTTCATCATTCTTTCTCTCCCTCTCCCCCTACTCTTTTGATCAATCTTTCTCTATGTCTCTCACACCCCCCTCTCTCTCTGTCTCTCTCTCTACTCCACTCTACTCTCTCACTCTCTATCTAAGTGGCCGTCAAAGACCCTCACGAACTACAACCAACTCTGTGCGACTCTCTACTGAAATTCCCGCTCACATCACGGAGCTACGTTGAAAAGGTTGGCTGAGGGAAAAAACGGAGGCTTCGTACCTTTAATTTCGCCTTCTCCACACTCTTTCAAGCCCATCTGGAGATCGGAGAGCAAATCTACACTCATCTGTAAAAAGTACAGCAGACCAATCGCCCAAAGAACAATGGCTGTGTTAACGAGTAAATGTGAGCCGTGCAACTGTGTTCTGGTCAATTCTGGTCCTCTTACGGGACGAAAAGCCAACAGTCCATACTGATTTAATCTTCTTCGAGCAGTGCGTTCAGAAATTTGGACACCTCGAACTTCCAGGAGCTGATAAATCGCATGGAGTAAGATGCCGTTTTCCCAAAATTCTCAAAAAATGGACATCCTGTGGTTCCTAAAGGCGTCTCGCAGAGTTTCGTAGGGAACTCCGATGGCAACAGCCGCATACTTGATGGAACGTCCATCATCAGTAAGTGCCACACCACGCGCAACATCCTCAGCAGTAAGTGGCCTTTTTAAGTTTAAAAATTGAAACTAAGAAAACAACGCTGAACACTAAATAGTTTATTTCTTCAGAATTCAAATGGACTGAATAAACATTTTAAATTCCGTAAAAAGTAAACATTGTAAAATCCTTTATCCTTGTTTTGGATCAAGGATTAAATGTGTTTACCTCTAATTGATATTCTCAATTTAAAACATAGCATAAACAAATATTTATTGATAAAAACAATGAGACAAATTAAGAGCAGAATTTTCGTTTATTGACAAAATAACAATAAAAATATTTGGCGGAATTTTTAGTCTGTCAGTATATATAAAGAGTACATATTACGACAACCAGTACTTACTGAAAGTTTATACAAAATTTTGTTTGTTGACCAAACGCCGTTTATTTTTTCGACGGGAGACAAACGGATGTGGTGAAGTGAAAATCGACATTGTGAATGCGTAGGCGCCGGGGGGAAAAAGTCCGGTAGCCGAGTTGGAAGCAACGCTAGCGGCGGACTGTTAATTTGTATGCAAAGCCGAGGTGCTCCGTGGATTTGTGAGGCCTTTCATGTAGTCTGGCAATTAGTAAGCAAAGCCTAGCTAGCAACTTGGGCCTGCCGAAGAAAGAACATTTTTCAATGGCTACGCTTTCTCCTTAAAAAAACCCGCCGCTAGTTATTTGTCTGGCTTGGGAGGAAATAGGAACGTTGAGTTTAATAAAAATAAAAACTTTTCCTATTGTGCCACAAGCTGTAAAAAGTTGGCCAAGTTCGGAACAAAAACGACATAAGTCCTTCTTTCTACCCTTTCTTAAAAACTTCACCCTTGCGTCTTTCGTCCGGGATATCTATTAACTTTAAATAAAGTTTTCTTTTCGCTAGTATGAAAAAAGGTCTTCAGGTAAAAACCAATAAGTTTTATCATTTATGCTATAAAAAAAGTCAAGGAAAAAGAACACTTGAAATTGCCAAAATAATTCAAAATATGTCAAATTGCACATAATGCCTTTTGAAATTTATTTGGTAATTGGTAAATGTCTATAATACTTTACTTTTTAATTACAATAAATTGGGTGTTCGGCTACACGCGTCACATACTTTGCCAGTAGATACTATATTTAAAAAGGAACCAAAAAAGTCCTAATCAACTATGGTCCGAATCTCAACAATTTCGGAGTTATATCATTTTTTCTGATTTTTAAGATTTCACGACCGTGCTTGAAATAAACAATGATAACTCCAAAACTAAAAGGTGTTGGACAAATCCGTTGATACCATTGAAAATTACGTTAAATTTCCAATAAGATGTGATCAATAGTAAATTTGTAAACGTTCGCGAAATAAGTGTTTTGTAGGGAGAACTTTGAAAAAAAAATTTCAAAGTTGTAAAACTTACTATGATGGTTCTAAACTACTATTGCCTAACCTAGAGACCAGAAAATTTCAGAAAACGTGTTAAGTAAACACTTGCACTATTTCGGTTTCGAATCCAAATTAATTCATTCAAAATTTCCTTTCGATTTTTTTTCCACCTTACCAGTCTTTGAACCACGGTTTTTCTTTTCCTTCATCAATTTCTTCTTCTTTGAAAAAGTAATTAAAAAAGCAATTGCACCACTAAAAAGGATATTAAATGGAGTACATTTTCTGAAATTTGCTGGTCTCTAAGTTTCGAAATAGCAGTTTAGAATCAACATAGTAAGTTTTTCAACTTTGAAACGAAAACATTTTTCAAAGTTCTCGCTATAAAATGCTTATTTCTCGAAATTGTACAAGTTTACTATTAATCAAATCTTATTGAAAATTGAACGTCGTTTTTAATGGTGTGAACGGATTTGTCCAAAACCTTTTAGTTTTGGAGCTATCATTGTTTATTTGAAGCAAGGTCGTGAAAGCTTAAAAAATCAGAAAATGGAAAAACTCCGAAACTGTTGAGATTCGGACCACAGTTAATTAGGACTTTTTTTGGTTCCATTTTGAATGTAGAATCTACTGGCGAATTTTGTAACACGAGTAGCCGAACACCCTGTATACATTAGTTTGCTAGATTGTACTATTATAAAGCTTTCATGAAATGTTTGAGCCTTGTTGAAATCTCACAATATGAAGGAATTATTATTACAGAAAGCGAGATGTTATTGTGTCGAATCGTATAAAAGGAGATTGCACCATAAAAAAGGACTTAACAACGCGAATAATAGGTGGGGGGGGGTAATGCGCGAGGTAGTGTTTAGTATCGAAATGATGCCGGCAAGCGTTTCTCTTAGTCCACCATAATGCAATTCTGATTTAATAAATCCAGCTCCAATAAATTTTGACGTCTCGTAAAGACCGGGGCAAGGCGATGGTTTTCACGTCATAACATAAAAACAGCTTAGCTTGTACAGCCTGATTTAAATGGACAGTGTAATATTCCAGGAGGTGCTAAATGTCATTATAACGCTTATTAAATTGCATATTTGAACAGTTTATTAAATGTTACACAAACACAGATACAATACATAAGGATGCAGGTATGTAAGGACTGTGTATAGCGAAGTGATTGCGGTCTAAGAAGAGAGAGTGGGAAAAATAAGCAAAAATGACGAATGAGTCATGTAACATACAAGAAATAATAAGAGGAAAGCAATAAAATATAATAAAGAGAGGAACAAATTGAGAGAAACAGAGAGATAAATATAATAAAACCAAATTGTATGGGTATACGAGATATAACATATAATAAATTAGTGTGTATGGATGAAACATAAAAAAATAAGATAGGAGAAGAAATAAGGAAGTGGGAAAAACATGAATAAAGGAGAGGGCCAGAAAGAACAGAAACAAGAATAAACAGAAAGATTGAATCTTTGGACATGACTATAAGAAACATAAACAACGTTATAAAAAGGAAGGAAGATAATAAGAGATATAATGCGTTAACAGAAAAAAAAACTTTCTGGAGATTATTTTTATTTATTTTATTTATTTTTTATATTTTTTAAGGGCAAAAAGACTCACGACTCACGATTATTTTTTCTCCACTTCACGCAAAAACATTGAATCATGGATCTGAAGCGAACCCGCCCTTTCTACCTTTCTAACATCATTCTGACCTCCAACCCAAACCTAACCCACACCAGTCCAATCCTAACTTTATGACGAGTTATTTTAGTCAACGTACAAAATAATTTTCAATTAATTAAGATTTTTAGTTGAGATAAAAAGTCCGTGTCACGAGCGGGATTCGAACCCACGACGTTCGGCTAGATACGCCGCTACTCTACCACTTGAGCTCGTGACTTCGATCCACTCGGACACTACCTTCCCATCTCAACCCCACCTTTAATTGAAAGTTATTAATTGGTCAAGCGGACCACGAAACTAGTGAATTTAATAAGTTAAAATGAAGTGAATTTACACTTAAGCTCTCCGTGGCAATTTCCTTTGTCGCCGAGAATAAAGATTACACGACATTTGAAAAATGTCAAAAAGGAGGGAAAATTCAAAAGGCGGGGTTGAGATGGGAAGGTAGTGTCCGAGTGGATCAAAGTCACGATAGCACAAGTGGTAGAGCAGCGGCGTATTTAGCCGAAGGTCATGGGTTCGAATCCCGCTCGTGACACCGAATTTTTTATCTCAACTATAAACCTTAATTAACTGAAAGTTATTAATTGGTCAAGCGAACCACGAAGCTAGTGCATTTAGGAGTACAAAATCATATTAAAAAATCAAGAAAACAACATAAAACAAACTTCTTAAATAAAATAATAATTTTAAAATAAAAAAAATCCTCCACCAGCATGGAAACTCAATATAATGGATACATTAAAATGATGACTTTCCCCAGGGCAAATTAAAATTGACAAGTATTTTAAAGACGCTGCATAAAGTATAGAAATCCGTAAATCACCTCTTTATTAATTTATTCTATTCTCTGTCTGACCGTCCCACAACACCTAATTTTTCCTTCGGCGAACGGAAGCCGGAAGGGAGGGATGAGCCAATAAGGGCCCACGCCTTCTTCCACCCCTCAGGGCACCGTTTTTTGGGGCAAACGACCAAAGGCGGTGACAACCCCTAACCTATGTGCCTTCCTCAGGCATTGCGAAGTCGATGTCACAAAAATTGTCACTATATATATAAAAAAAATAATAATACAGCCAATTAAAAGTGTAAATGGATAAAATGACTATACTAAACCAGCGTGGGTAAGCTTCAGATACCAAGGGAGGTTTGAAATGATCAAACTACAACTTTCATCTCTTGCAAGCCTAAAATCGTAACAAAAATGGAGTGTCCAACCGCTGAAGATGGCAAATGCCGAACTTCTAGGCCAAACCAGCGAGTATAAGCTCCAGATACCAAGTGTAAAACTCGACAAAAAGTTATAGCTTACGTCCCCTAATCTCCTTGAACCACCCTAAGACACTATAAAGCCAATCCAATCTCTAAGTGAAACCACCGACAAAGAAGCACAGAGGCTTTAGTAATTCCTGTTCACTTTGTAGGGTTTGTAAGTGTAGAACTAAATATACGAAACAATTGACAAGTCAATAATGGTCTTCTAATACCAATCATTGTTCTATTGATATGGAGGGGGTCATAAAGTTCTATCATATAGGAGACATCAAAGTCAAGTCAGATTAATCCAGAATTACAATCCTTTATGCTCATAAGAGACTATATTGTACGTTGCGATTTGTTGATAAGGCTGTTCAATAAGGCGAAGATTAGGAAATAATCGTTTAAGTAATTAAATTCTAAACCCGTCCAGCTTTACAATATTTCTATTGATGTAACCTTCAAGTTCATATTTTAAATCTGTCGGACTTTTTTTCAAAAGATTGAAAATGTTCAATTTATAAAAAATTAAATATTCCAGACAATGTCATTATTCAAAATGATAGAGCTAAGCTACATTTCAAAACGTACTAGGGTCTTTAGTACCATTTGTCATCGTTCTAATGGAACATTTCCACCGGGGTCAAACAAATTACATTCGGTAAAATGAAAAAAAATTTCCAGAAACTGTGGGCGTAGTAAACCAACAAACAGGCGACCTATTGTACAAACTCATGTACAATTATGTTTTTAATTAATTTGTTCTCTAAACACTCACGTTTTAGTAATCATTTTTATACTGTTACTGTTTAAATGTAAGTTACGTCAGAGTTCCAAAAATATAAACGGCAAATATCGTATTTGTGTATTTTTAGGATCAGGCTTAAAATTTGAAATACAAAACAACTTTATTTCAAAAAGTAATAATTTTAATAAACTGCGGCTTCATTTGCTTAAATATTCGAACGAAAATTTGTCTTCTATATGTACAAAAAAGAAAGAATTATATCACAATATATTAAAACAAAAAATATTCATTACGAATGTTTATATTTTATTGCAAGTACTATTCACCTATTATTTTTTTCTCTCTCACACACGTTTGCTCCTTCTCTATTTCTTTGTTTCTGTATATTTCTATCTCAATCACTCAACCGACACTACCAATGCCACCATACATTCACTTTATATCTTTATAACATCCCATCGCTCTTTTCTTTTATTGTTTTCCTTTTCATTAACGCCTTTTCTTGTTCAAATCCACTTTCTCTCTCTCTTTCTCTTTCTCTCTCTCTTTCTCTCTCATTCTCTCTCTCACTCTCACTCTCACTCTCTCTCTCTCTCTCTCTCTCTCTCTCTCTCTCTCTCTCTCATTTCTCGAAAAATTTATTAGCTTTTCAAAAAATTAAGTATAGACTGTTACGTACAAATAACAGAAGATTATTGTGAGGAAGGCTTTCTATCAAGAGGGAATAAATATCATTACTGAATAAATGCAAATAATGTCAACAGAACTTCAAGCCGTTACACGTGAAACCTCTGCACTGTCTTTTTTTAAGTGTATTAATTTGGATATGTCGAAAATTCTTTAGAGCTCAACTTAATATAAGAAACATCTGAATGTACAGGCATAAGGAATAGGCAACCCGATTTTTACAATCTTCCTGATCTCCAAATTTATTCTTCAGTGATCGGTCTGCATGTTATTCTGTAAATCGTAAACTTTTAGGGGAGTTTTTCTATGTTATTTTAAGAAAAGTTTGACTGGGCATGAAACGAAAAACTGGCAAATGCAGGTAAGTTACAAAAATGTTATTAAAAAAACATGTATATTTATGTGTGTTAAATAAGGTAAAAAAGTGTTATATTTCCTTGTTTTTAATAATTATGTGCCTGAGAACAAATATCGTTTAAAATAAATAATAAATATGAACGTTTACCAGTATATAAGAAAATGTGATTGCAAAAAGCTCTTTCCTATATGCTTATAAACACATATGCTACTGTACTCAAAATTTATATGTTCATAAAAACTATATTTACTTATATGTCGACTTTATCATTACGAATTTTGTGTATAACGTATTTATAAGTTGAGTAAATGGGAAAGTACAATGAGCATTTTAAGAATGGTTCTTGTTTGACGACGCTACTAAACAGAAAATTCACGGCGCTCCGGTTATACTACAAACCCGCAAGGCATGTTGCATCCCTTCTGTCCAACTGTCAATTATAATTATTATATTATATTATAAGTATTTCTGTACGTTTTAATATGTCTTAAAAATAAACAAAAATCATGCAATGCAAAAAGATTTAAGTCTGATAATAAAATTCAATGCAACTTGCAAAAAATAGTTGTGTTTCTACAGAAAAACCCACTGAAGAAACGTGGATAATGTGAGGAGCAGAATCGATTAATAAGAAAACAATCTCGGTAAATTTATTTGACTAAATAAAAACTCTGGAATTATAAAAAAATGTTTTAAACAATACACTACCTCTTGGAGAGAAAAAAATCGTTTTAAGAAATTTGTTTAATGTGTAGTGATTAGTGATAGTTAATCAATTATTATTCAAAAATCGTGAGATGCGGTCTGGTGTGATGTAGGTTTCAGAAAAACATTTTCTTTATCGTGGCAACGTTTCGATCTTTATTGAGATCATCTTCAAGGCCTCCGATTTACAAACATTGTTTACATTAAACAAATACATGTAGAATGTGGAAAAAAGTGAATTTATACAATGCAAAATATATTTTTTATATTGAATGCCATGGCACAATTACACAAAAGACAAACACTTCGAATGAGTAGAAATACTTTGATTGAATATAAAAAAATATATTTTGCATTGTATAAATTTACTTTTTTCCACATTCTACATGTATTTGTTAAATGTGAACAATGTTTTTAAATCCCAGGCCCTGAAGATGATCTTAATAAAGATCGAAACGTTGGCACAATAAAGAAAATGTTTTTCTGAAACGTACATCACACCAGACCGCATCTCACGATTTCTGAATAAATTTGATTAAGTTTGTTATTTCAAATAGTATTTTAAACTATATTTTTGTATATATAAACAGAGTAATTAACTTCATTTATGATTAATTCCGATTTTTTTGCGACAATCTGTTTATGAGCGAATCGATACTGTTTTGACACTTTCCAAGAATAAGAATATACATATTTTATTAACAGGGACTTTCATGTTAAACCTGTGTTCCCGTTATGCAATATGATATGCTTTTTATCGGAGTATTATATGAATTTTTCAGAACCTCTTCGAGATTGATTTGAATATGGGTGAAATAACATACGTTTCTCTCTTTGTGCAGTGGATTTGCTTAATGCTACGCAACGTCACAAATATTCTTTGATTTTGTGAAACTGTTGAAGTTTAGAATGTTTAAGTTCAGGTTCTGATGATTAATTTTCTTTATTTTATATTCTAAATTAGCTATGATTGTAAAATATAATGTCAGCCGAAGACTTGCAACCGAGAAAGATACAAATCATTCATTTGTTTAAAAAGTAAAAAGTCCAAATTACTAAAACTGTACTGCCATTCATCACGAGGAAAATAGGAGCAATTAAAGCCAGAAGTATTAAAATATTAACGGCGTTGATAAGTGCTTGGATAAATGAGCCCCGAGCGTCCACTCAAAACCCTCGTTATTCGAGCTTTTTATTTAAAGCAGCCACCAGGGCTTAATCGCGAAGAGAGAGGGCCTCGAATGCAATTCGTTCGGCTTCCTGCTTAAATTTGTTCCGCGCATTGCAATCTGCATGCCAAGCAGGGTTGTAACGGGCCCGAATTGAATTAGACCACCCATTTTGTTCTTTTACGTTTAATTTTTACTTATCCCTTGGCTCGAAGTGCTAAAACGGTTATTTAAATAATGAAAAAGGCCTGAGGACTTGTTTTAATTCGTGGAAGATTAATTGAAACATTTAGAACTAAGAGATTTTTCGCTTTTTTTTAATTTAAGACATAGTTCCAAAAGAGAAAGGAATTTCGTCCATCACCTCAATCTTTATGACAAAATTTTCTTAATGCTTCTTCTTACGTGTCGAATTGCTTTAAATAAAATATTTTCAGTGTCTTACCGTTTTGGTGACTAGATGAGCGGACAAATCGAGATGTCTGCCCCAAGATAGATCAGAAGTGTTGCTGCTCGGCTCCGCGACGAGGCTCCTTGCCGGAACGGTCTGCTTGGTCGAAAAAGGCCCATAGCTCGCCCTGACAGCCAACGGTCTGGAAGTCTGAAAAACGGCGAACCTCTCCGTTGTCAGGACGGCACCCGGTGGCCCTGGTACAGGAGGTTCAGGGGGCTGCGCCCTCGTCAGGGACTGTTTGAGGAAGTAGCCGCCTTCCGGGCTCTCCAAAACGACGTCGACGCTGCAACCTACGCCCCATACTGTAAAACCAAAACAATACATTAGTCACTTTTATCACATACATTTTATCTGAAAGTACAAAAATTTCAATACTAAATTTTCGTAACTTGTAAAAGTTGTCATTCGGATCTGCCGAACAAGGACCGTGGATTTAATTTGAATAAGTCATCTTTCGGGAGAGAGACAGATGTGCATCTGCTATGTAAATGTTTGGCCCGGAACGTACAACAACGAGGAACAATCTAATTCGCAATGTTGTCAACCGAACGAACGCCATCCCTTATTTTGACGAAACCCGTTACAATTTGTCAGTGCACAACATGCTACGATTTATCTGATGCGCGAAACTCTTTCATTATTACCGACACTGAACTATTAAAAAAATTACGACCTGAGATTTTGAGAATTACCATCGAGGAATAATTACTTCAACTAGTAAAGAATGCTACCTGGTAATTTTGTTTTACATGTTTTATTTTAATGTAACATGTAAATAACAAAGTTGAAATGTTGCATTCTGTATTTTTAAAAAAATCCTTTCCTAGATTTAGCTAAAATGTATACAAAAATTGGTTTGTGGCATCAAAAAATAACTTTCAATTTTGATAAAATATTGTTTGAAATGGCTATTTATATTCTGGAAATGGCGTTGACTTATGATCAATACGATGAAATTAAAAACTGAAACTATATAAAGCCAGTAGCTTTTATATTAAAGATAATAAGCATTAATGTAAAAATCACGAATTTGAGACTTGAAAAATTCCAAAAAACCCTGAGACTTGTCACGTTGTTGTATAAAGGAACATAATCTTTATTTACACGAAAAGCGTAGCTGTTGTTTTTCAATTTAGCCCTTGTACGCGCTATGCTCAGCCTAGGCCCAATACAAATACATCTGTCTCAGGTAACTTCAGGCTTATCGACTTGAAGTGTTTACGTTTTTATTTACCGATTTAAGGATAAAAAAAGTACACTGGAAAATATGATATCACATAACTTCACAAAATCCTCTAAATATATAAATTCTATGTCATGCGAAAAGTAAAATAAAATAGAAAAGAAAAATTATTGCGATATGTATAAGTTATAAAGAAAATGCTACAATAATTATCAATCAGATAACGGTTAAAATGTTTTATTTTATTAATTATTATTTATTCACGAACAAAAAAGCCAACAAGTTACATGTACGCTCAAACGTCAAACCTGTCCACCAGTGCACATTTACAACAAGATAATACCACCATCAAACCAAGTCCACTACCTTGGGCTTTACTTAGATAGTAGACTTACATTGGAACCGACATACAAGATTAAAACGGCAAGAATTTAACAAAAGATATGGACTACTCAGACACCTAGTTGGACGAAAATCAACACTAAGCATACATAACAAACAGAAAAGATGGTGGAGTGAGTGTGTTGTTCTATCTTTTTTAAAAGTTATTTCCTACTCACAGTAAGTTGTTTTCAACGATCCGGATTTCGAGCCTAAGCTCATCATCAAGTTGAAAGAGCTCAACAACCATGTCTCCCGATATGAATTGTAAGACTGAACGGCCCCCGGCCATCACGACGTTCAAATGAGAAGCTGGTTTTTAATGCCGCTCAATTATCACGCGGGAAAATCGGGAATTATAACACAATTAAATAAGAAATTAATTATAAATTAGTGATTTTTTAAATATATATTTTTATATAGGAGGTGAGATCGTGAGGTGCGGTCTGGTGTTTAACTTTCAGTTTTACATGAAATGAAAATTAATCTGATGAAAATTAAAAGCAAAAATTTTGTAGTTTGGTTGTTAAAATTAAAATCCAATCTTAAGACTTTTTTTTCCTTTGTTATTACCATTTGGCCGTAATAACTCTAATATAGGAATTAGCCTGGCACCCTTTCATTTATTCTTTCTTTTTCTTTTTTTCTTTTTTTTTATGTCTTCGGCTTTAATGTGTGGTGTTTAGTGACTGTTGGTTAATGATTATTCCGAGATCGTGAGATTTTGTCTGGTGTGACGTAGGTTTTAGAAAAACATTTTCTTTATGGTGCCAACGTTTCGGCCTTTACTGAGAACATCTTCAGGACCTGGGATTTATAAACATTATAATTAATTAAGGTTTTTAGTTGAGATTAAAACGTCAATGGCACGAATTGGTCAAGCGGACCACCAAATCAGTGAATTTTATAAACATTGTTTGAATTTTACTACGATATATGAGGGGGGTACGAACGGGTACTATGCGCCTCCAATAGCCTCTAATACCCAACTCCGACTTTCCACCTTCACGAAGCTTATGCGGGTGTACCCTGTTAACTAACAAACGGAAAGAGGGGTATGGAGGGACAGGAGCTGGACCTGACACCTCCTAATCCTAAACCCAACACCTACCCCTCTTCCCACCCCACACCTTATCCTGGTCCCACTCTCCAGCCCAAATCCAAGGTNGGAGTGCAAACCCCGCTTCCTAGTATCCTTTTCTACCATACCATACCATACCATACGATATATGAAGGATGTGGGAAAAAAAATGAATTTATACAATGCTAGAAAATTTTAGATAAAAAAAAAATCAATTTATACAATGCTAGAAAATTCATTTTTTACCGCAAGATGATCTCAATAAAGCTCGAAACGTTGACATGATAAAGAAAATGTTTTTCTAAAACCTACGTCACACCAGACCCCACCTCACTATCTTCAAATAATTTTTTACTCAATGTATATTTTATACAGATACCATTAAATAAAATAAACTACTTAAAAAAACTTCAATCATAATGCTTTGTTTCTATTATTTTTTGTTCAATGATACGAATTCGGTTTAAACGTTTAAAATATAAATAAAGGCTACGTTCTTGTGTGCAGGCAAGCCTGAATAATCCTTGGGTCCTCCTATAAAACCCTAGAGTGCCCTCTTTGGGTTGTTTCCACTTTAAGAAAGCTATTTCCTTCCTGGTGTTCTATTATCCGCAAATGCCTGGTAGGGTGAGGGTATTGATGCTCGTATATTAAAACATTTTCTTTTGTGCTCGTCATTTGCGGGCCCGTTCTCCCCTTTTAAAGTTTCGCAGTTCGAAATTCATTAAGTTTCACTCACCCCACCACCGTTGAGATATATTTTATCTCTTCCCTTGTTTAAAGATAGGCGCCTGTACAGAAGATGAGGATTAGATTGCCTCGGTCGTACCCAAGAGGTTGTAGTGGGTGTAAAGAAATTATTTTCACTTTCCCTGATCGTCTAGGTAATCAATATTTAGTATCGAATGCATAAATAATACACTTTTTAATTCAGTAATATTCTTATATAATTAAAAAGAGAAGCGCTGTAAAATAGTTTCTTCATTTTAGAATATATTACACATTTTAATGTTAAGAATGTGGTAGCCCTACTCGAGAAAAAGTTGTTTTTACTAAATACTTGATTTTACAACTGGAAAAATATGCTATTTAATTGCCTGGTGGGTTTTTGTAATTGGTAACCATACGAAACAACCTAAGATGGCAATCGCGTCTGACGGACCAACCAAGATAGACAAACCAGGATTAACGGTAAAGACCAAATACGGGTTAATCATCTCGTGAAGTTTATTATTTCTACCTGTATAGTGTAGGGGATTATTTGTGTGTGTGTGTGTGTTTTGTTTGTTTTTTGCCCTCGAAAGTTACAGATTTTCATTGTTTTCATTGATTCATTCCCGAATTACAGGTATTACATTGATACATTTTTACATTTTGTCTTTACATATTATTACATGTATAATATATGTTGTGGTTTGTATTCAAAATGGCGAACAATTCAAAGTTTTTCGAGTTTTATACCGTGTACAAAGACCAAAAACATTTTTGTGAAGTCCCTCGTAAGTGCTTCTTCCGGTTGTGGCCACTTTTTCCTTTGTCGCACGATATGTCGAATTATAATATATGACGATAATATAATAATATCTAATAATATATATAATATATAATAATATTTAATTAGGAAAAAGAAAGCTAAATTGTTGAAAAATTAGGCTATGTAAAAACGTTTGATGTGTGGAATGTGATGAATGTTTTATGTTATGTTATACATTTTATGTGATGAGATGATATTTGTATCTTATGTTGTATTTTAAAGTCTAAATTGTGTTTCTGTTCAAAATGGTAGGTAGCGAGTGCTGAAGGATTTTGCTTGGGTTTTTTGCAACCATAGATTTGTTGCTTTACTCTCTTGTCCAGATATTGGGATGTAATTAAGTAATTTTTCAACAATTTAGCTTTCCTTTTCCTAATTATCCCCGTCTATATAATCCTGAAAGATAATCTGGCCAAACCATTACCAACGTTTTTTCCCATGACTTCAAAGAAGCCGACTCCTTATACAAAAATGTCTTTCTATACCGACTTCCTTCCCCACACCTTCAAAATCAAACGTATATAAACATAAAACAGCAATATCTCACTGGCACTCTCAACACAATGGCACAATTGCGCAGAAAACAAACACTTTCCAACAATCCCAGGCCCTGAAGATGATCTCAATAAAGATCGAAACGTTGGCACGATAAAGAAAATGTTTTTCTGAAACCTACATCACACCAGACCGCATCTCACGATTTCCGAATAATCATAGACTAACGGCCACTAATCACCACACAACGCTATTAAATAAGCTTAAAAATTTTGATCTATTTGGCGATAATCTGCGAGTTTTCAAAAGGAAAATTTATAAATTTTTGAAAACCTAAGGGAGAATGAGTAAATGTTTTAAATTATTTATTTTTTCTTTGAATTTTAAACTTTGATCTGTAATTCATATTATTTATTTTGTGTTTTTATTATTTATTATTTTATTGTATTATATGTAGTTAGCTTTATTTTGTTATAAATGTAATTTAAAATTTTCATTAACTTATTTATTTGTTTTTAGTTATAATAGCGAATAGGAATTATATAATTGACTATCCTATCCTGGGTTTTGCTCTCTCGGACTAATTCGCTGGATAAATAAACCCACTTTCACATAATGAAAATTGGCA